CTGCCAGTTACTCTAGCATTCATCGTCAACATTGCCAATAATCAATGGACCTATTATTATCCTTTAAGTGCAGCAGCCCCAATTTAACCACCAATTAACAGCCTCGTTCCACTCCTTCAACAACAGTTCAGTTCACTGTTTTTTATCTATGTTCGATTGACCATTTTTGTTCACCATCCCCCCCCCCCCCCCCCCCCCCCCCCCCCCCCCTTCGCTACTATCACTGCACCATTTATTTATCTCGTATCGTGTCCACTTATTCAACTCCTATCCAATCCTCTCTGGCAGCGAAGGTATCATTCCGATCTATTCGTTGATTTGTTGACCCGCTCGCTCACCTCATTCCGCTCCACACAATTCGATTGGCCTCCCGCTCGTTCCACGTACGCTTGCTCAGCGGATCGCCTCCTGTGCGTGACACGCTAGACACAGCGACCCGCGTCCCGACTGCTCCTGCCGCGAGCCGCAGATGCGAAGTAATCGCAAACTCCCCCACAGATGCCCGTCTATACCTGCCTGCCCGCCAACGGGCGCTCCGCATGGACACACCCGATTGCTACATCGCGAGTTTGCTACACGGCCCGCTTAAACAGCTGCCACAACAACAACAACAAAACAAAACAACGCTTTTTAGGCATGCAGGATGGTTCGCTGCCTGTTAGGTGAAGCAGCTACGAGAGGAAGATCTGTCGTACCAAGAGCTCATCGATACACTTATTACGAGCGTTGTTGTTATGGCCAGCGCGCCTTAACTGTTATGTGATGAAAACAACTCACAATTAGAAACTTGCCTGCATTTAGGATGCAGAGGCGATAGTTCTGTCGCGTTCATCAACAACGCCCACCAATCACGCAAACAAAACATTACGTTTCAAGGTTGCCTTCCAAGGTTCAGTAGAGAACAAGCATAAACACTTGCGAGGGCCATGGCTGTTTAGCGCGTACGAATCTGCGTAGCCACAAACGCTTTCTGGCCAGTATCAGCCAATACATCTGCTATTGTAACTACTACACTGAACCGCTCAACGCCATTTTGGCAAATCGCAAAAACTTGATACGATTGCAGCATGCATCATCAGAGCAACCTCATGAATTAAGCTAAATTGCACAAAAACTATATGCCAATCACAAACAAAATGCAATCACAATAATATAGCATAAGAGAAAGGCTGATCATACACCTGTCGCCCTTCTATAACAGTGCCCTAGATAGGATCAGTTGGCAGCCGAGACACACTCGCACCACGGACACGCGAGTAACCAACCCTGCGTACTGTATGAGCGGTTGATAGAAGCCGCGGAACTTCTCCTTGCATTAGAGAGCCTCCGCCCAAAAAAAATTGCCTCGCATTGCCGCAGAGCAGTGACAGCCAGCGCCGCTGTACGATCCACGCCCAGCTTCCGTGGCGGAGGAGCCGTACTTCTCCGGCAAGCCATGAGGATGCGGCTGCAATGCGGACACGGGCAGTTGTCCGTCTCCGAACCTACAGACAGCAATAATAACCACAATGCATTGGCGCCTACACAATAAGCATCAGAGTATAGCAGAAACCTACAGCATAGCCAGAATTCAAGCAAACCAACAATGATGGCCTACATAGAGATCAGAGTTATAGGCCAACCTACAAGCATAAGCCGCATAATAAACAACGTTCGAGATGACGCCGATCTTACAGTGAGAGCACCAGAGCTTCAGGTCCCAACCTACAAAAAAGTCCGATAATAACCAAACGCATGAGCGACATACAGCAGACGCGAGAGCCCAGGGCCCTACGCGCGACCTATTAAAACAAGCACAGATAAGCCACGAGTACCAATATAACCAACTAGAAAGCGCCCCACTTCGGGGAGTCTGCGAAGGTCGCCATTCATTGTGGGAGTTCATTTATGTTGATGCGCATGTCTATTTTGCTCGCCATGCGGATTTGTATAATGTCTAACTAGAACAAAAATGCACACTCAGACATACATCGTAACCTGCAAAGCCAGCATCATATTGATTCATGCTTTGAATGTACCATTGTAACTAGCCATCGCTATATGAACAACGGGTGTAGCCCGAATTGTTAGACCTCTAAATACATTGTACAAGCCCCAAATTAAAAACACATGACAAATGGCGGGAGGAAACTGTGTATGTCGCCCCCTACAATTCTGTATGAAAATCTGCCAAGATGTCGCCAATGTGCAGTTAGCCCCTAAATGCCCATAACTACGCAACTGCGCTTCTTCTACAGCGCTAGCCTGACACCACTCTGCCCACACACAACACGCCTTTCCGGCCGAAATACTGCCCCCTGCCGGAAACCCCCGCAGCCCCGCCGCCTTAGCCAATTAGCTTACAGTCCTTCCCGCCCTATAGAGCCCAGCATTGAAACTATACAATAATGACAATATACTCCTAATTATTAGCCTATGCATAATAAGCCGTCAAGGGCACTCAGAATCAATAGCCGGCTCGTCCAGCCGCTTTCATAAGATTGCACATGTGCGCACCAAGGTTCTGAGCAGTGTCTAAGCTCTCTACGGCCTGCAACGACCTCATCAGCAACGCCCGCGCACACACACACACACACACGCACGCACGCACGCACGCACGCACGCACGCACGCACGCACACACACACACACACACAGACGCACGCACGCACGCACGCACGCACGCACGCACGCACGCACGCACGCACGCACGCACACACACACACACACGCCGCCACATACATACAAACGAGCATGAAAACACCAAGAAATAACCAAGTTAAGTACAGACAACAGCTGTGCCGCCAACTGCAGCAAAAGGTTCTGTTGTTTCACAATTTGAAATTTGGATTGTTGTATTCCTGACGGTCATAATGCAATGCTCTATTTTAATAAATCTCATTCATTTGTAATTTTATCAGTTTTCTTCTAACAAGGTGGGTTTTCAGTAGAATACGGACACTGAAAAAATTCTTTGCATACTCAAAAACACCACTAAAACTTCACTACACACAGACACATGTATACGTGTACTTTGCGTGCAACGTTTACGGCCGATGACATTTGCTAATACTAACGGCAGGCTCAATCTCCGAGGGATCACCGTAACTTGCGGACTGTGTCGGTAGACACCAGGGGGCGCTGTACATACCGATCCACTTGTCGGAGACGATGCGGATGAAGTATTGCGGCGGCAGCGGCTCGAAGACCGGCACGAAGAACTTGATGACGTGTTCGTCCTCGCAGAACTTCTGCTTCAGCAGGAAGTACTCGTGGTGCAGCACCACCTCACTGTCCACGTCCTCGACGAGGATCCAGAACGCCTGTGCAGATGACGAGACGCCGCCGTGGCAACGAAACACGGTTACGCGTGGCAATGACATGGTTATGTACAGCAATGATTTAGATACGCAGTCATGCATACAACTTCGTATAATCATGCGACAAGTTAAATTTGTCATTGACACAGCTGAATTTGTGTTATATAGCTTCAGTGATAAATGCCCAAAAAAGTCGTTGTGAGGCCCAGCTTATCGCATGAAGTGCCTAAATTTGAGATTCATTTTCCTAGAAATTGAAACTAAAACAATGCTATATTATGCCTTATGAGCATGAAGATTCAATGCAAATATTTTGAGGAAAGTTCCTAGCAGTTTTAATAATAGATTGAAGTAGTTCTCATGGTAGAGGTAAAGAAATGTATTGGGAGTAAGAGAATTGTATTGGCGTTATCGTAACCCTCAAACCGTAGTGATGCCACTGATTAAGGAATGGTTACCTATGCAAACAAATCCTCGCATCATGGGCAACTTTCTGATGAAATTCTGGGACCCAAAATAAATTTTACATTTAAATGTTTTTGTTAGATAATTACACGTCTGTAACATAGCAATGTTTCTGCAACGTTTCCATGTATATGTAACAGAGCAAAGACTCAGTAGGAGTATATCCCATAGCAAATGGTGCGCATGGTACATTCAATCTAGGTCTCTGGCTGGTGTACCTCAGAGTTTCCATGTAGCTTCTCATCCCACTGGAAGTCCGGCGTTATGGTTAGTTCAACACGAAGGGTAGAACGCGTGATTGGCTGGATGTGTGCCGCCAACTCCAGCTTGGGAAACTGATGCACAAACTTGTGGATCGTTTTACCTGCACAGGTAAGACAGGACAGTTCTGACAAGTGAGCGAGGGTACGGAGCAGCATAGTAGGTGGCAAAACTGATAGGTAAGAGAGAATATATATAAAACAGAATAGCAAAAAAATCTAATATCTAGCCTCTGAGCTACGGCATGAGAACATTGAAATGTTGTTGACAAATGGATACAAGTGTGCATGTATATAGGTGAAACACAAGAACGTACCCATCTTTGGGACGCGAATCAGCTCGCCAATCTCGTTCGGTCCAAGGTCATAGAATCGCTCGAAGGGAAAGTTCTTCTTTTCGATTTTCTTTATGATCTCGTCCGGAATCTTCTTGAACTGCCGCAGTGGTGTCATGGACTGCCACCTAGTGACAAAATAATGAAGCGGTCTTAGCAAGTGCTGCTTTGCAATCCTGTCAAATGATAATACTACATGACTCACTAAAGCTTTGAGCTTCTTACTTACTAAATCAATTTATCTTGTACTAATTTTTAATTATTTTTTAAAAGTATAATCCAATAACATCTACAAACATTCTGGTAATCAGGCAGGCATTATATCATCACAATAGATAAAGCAAATAAATTTTCTTTTAGTGATCACTCAAAAACTTAATCAGAATAGGTTTTTGAATGCTCTCTTGTTAGCCTAACCATGACACAGTTACATCATTTACTGCTATATAAAGTACATCTGTGGTACTCCCCTTTTGATTGGAAACAAACTTGTCAACCAGCACATACACAACCAGCACCAGTGCCGCCGCCACCAACAACAACAACACCATCTACTGATCTACCACACCACCACTGCCACCGCCACCGCCACCGCCACCACAACAACAACAACAACAACAACAACAATAACAACAGCAGCAGCACAGTACAATAACAGCAGCCATCACTAAACTCCAATCTGCTGCGATACGTACATTCTCTTGTTGATCATCTTGCAGAGTGCGAGTGCCTTGTCGGCTAGCTGCGCCCAGCCGCGGTGCAACACGATCTCAAAGATAGCGCGCATGAGTCTGCCGGCTGACTGTGTGACGTAGACCATGTCCGCAACGAGCGCAAAGCCATCCAGACGCAGCTGTGAGATGTAAGCCTGCAGCAGCACGTTCACCTACACACAGAAACAAGGGGAAGACCATGAGATGTAAGCCTGCAGCAGCACGTTCACCTACAGAAAGACATGACGAAGGTCATAAGGTGGAATAATAGGCCTGCAGCAACGAGATGGAATGTAATGAGGAAGACCACGGGATGGAACGAAATAATGAGGATCACAAGATGGAATGAAAAGAGGACGCATCTGAGATAAGAAAAATAAATAAAGACGACGACCGAAGTCAGACAAATATCTTTCAGCCCCCCCCCTCCGCCCTCCACCCGCACCTTGGCGCTGGGCTCCTCGATGCTTTCCTTTATCGGGATGGGCACCCTCTCGAGCAGCTTGTTCAGCTCAAGCTTCTCCTCCTCCCTCACGGTGATGTACTTGAACTCGGACGACAGCGAGAAGACCCTGAACAGCTCGATCTCGCTCAGCGTCGGCTTCAGCAGCTGGTTGTATGTCGACATCGACTCGTTCGTGCAGTAGTAGTGGCTGGCGATGCGACCCAGCTCCGTCACCTGCGTCGCAACGAGGAAGGTTGTAATACGAGTCGGACTAAAACAAGTTTTTAATAGTAGATGGGGGAAACCGCAGCACTTGCTGTGTGACGAAATCGTAGGTCTCAGTTAGGGCTGTCATAGATCACGGTTATGAATGAACACAGAGTATGGCAACACTGGTGGTTGTCTATACACAGCATTGGGTCACGATCTACAGATCTAGTCGAGATCGTAGCTCTGTTGACGCACGAAAATACGTGAACACCTACAGGCGCAATGCTTGTAGGTGTATCACGGCACCGGATCACAATGTACTAGCTGTAGAGCACAGTCGCAGTGTAACACGTCTTATGCCATCCTGCCCATACCTCACCCCCAGCCTCCCGCTCCCTCCAACCCCCAACCTACCAGCTGTACCTAAGGCTGCCAGTTGTACTTGACGAGGCAGTTCTTGTCGAGCGCGATCGCGGCAGTGTGCGCGAGGTCGGTGCGCCACCCCTCCCCCGTCTGTACCTGCAGCTGACCAGCCTTGCGGTCGTACTTGACGAGGCTGTTCTTGTCGAGCGCGATCGCGGCAGTGTGCGCGAGGTCGGTGCGCCGCTGCTCGAGCAGCGGGTCCAGCTTGGCCTCGTCGTGCGAGACGCCGTAGAGCGTCGGCGAGCGCAGCATGCGGATGTAGAGGTAGGTGTAGGCGAGCCACTGCATCGCGTCGCCGACGTTCTGTATGTTGCCGAGCACCACCTCCGCGTTCAGGTTGTCCGTCAGCTTGCTGATCATCTGACTCTCGATCGGAAGCTGCGGAGGAGCGAGTAACGAGTGTCGGGAGGATGGTTATTACATTGCTAAGCAACAGATGGTTATTATGTTATATATGTTGTTGTTATATATGTTGTTGTTATATATGTTATGTTATATAAATTATTGTGTTATTACGTTACTAAGCAAGAGGGGTAAACGACAGGTAATCGTGCTGCAAAGCAATTAAATAAACCGTAACATAAACCAAGTAATTATATTACTAACCATCAGAACAAATTGGAAATTAGTTGTGCTAGTACACCTCAAGTAAATGTTAAATATAATCAATAATAAATAGTTGTATAGTAAACATTATCATATGATAAGTACAATAATAATGATAAGCAATCTGATAGAGCAAGGCAATAAAGTAGTGAGTGGTCACTAGTGGTAGTACTGTAAAATGGACTAGACATTTATAAACTTATGATTTAATAGTTAACAAAGCAGGTATGCACGTACCCGTTAATTGACATAACTGAGCTGATTGGTAATACATTGGAGGCACGCACTATTTTGGATGGCGAGGCAGGTATTTATGTACATGTTAGTTGAACAAGGAGAGTTAGTATTGCACGCATTTAAGTACCTGTTGATTGATCATTGATGTGTAGTATGTCATATTTTAACGTACCTGATGATTGAGCAGGGATATGTACTATATCATATTTAACTAAGTACCTGTTGATTGAGCAGACATATATAGTATGGCATATTTTAACGTACCTGTTGATTGAGCAGAGACAGGTAGTACTGCAGCTCACTATGGTTGGTGATCAGGATGCCTTCACCTTTAGTGTCATATTGCGGTCTGCCAGCTCTACCCATCATCTGTAGCACAGAATCACTGACTGAAAACACACACACACACACACACACACACACACACACACACACACAAATACTAACCTATCCCCCTGCCCCCAAACACCCACCCCACAGACACACACACACACACACACTTAAGCCCTACTAGTCACACACTATACCAATCTCGCCTGAACCTGCACTGACCCCACAGCAACCCTGCACCGACCCACTACGTACCTGCAGCACATCGAGGGCTCCCAGCTCGACCCAGCGGCCCTTCTCAGGGTTGTACACCTGCGTGCCCTTGATGATGACCGTGTGCGCGGGCAGGTTGACTCCCCACGCCAGTGTAGCGGTCGACACAAGTACCTGACGATCGTCATTTCAAAATCAGTTGTACCCAAGCATAATGTTGTAACTTAGACCTCTTAAGTTAATCTCGGGTGAGGTAGAAAATAAAATGGTTCATGTTTCGGCCGTAGTAGAATGTTACTAAATTAGTATTTATGATGAACATGATTAACTATCTTCAATCATCAAATCGGTTGATCAGTCAATTGATGATTGGTGATTACATGACCAACATGCCATGTAATCAATTTACCCCTGAAAAACCCCAAACCTGCTACAAAGTAGATTTTGGCCGATTCGGAGCAAAATTAACAATTTCTTTTTGCTCGCGACCCGTGCCATTGATACTCCGGACGTCAGTCACTACACGCACCTGGATGTGACGGTCGGCAAATAGATCCTCCACCAGCGTGCGGTCGACGCGCGTCATGCCCGCGTGATGAATCGCGAAGCCATACGGCAGAAGATCCCTCAGCTCGAGGTTCTTCACCTGCTCAGCCTCCGTGCGCAGGATCTCGGTCGACGCCGAGCCTTCCCGTAGGAAGTTTCCCAGCGTGTCCTTCTCGAGGCACATGTCACGGATCGCGCGCGCCGTCTTGCCGGTCTCCTTGCGCGAGTGCACGAATATGAGGATCTGAAATCGTGGGAAGGAATGCACAATCGCTTTACTGATATTTTTATTATTGATATATATTTTATGAGTGATTTTCAGATGGACTGATTTAACTACCTTTTTCCAAAAAAAATTCTTTAGGACTCACTTTCTTGAAACTATAACTAAAAATAGTGATAGTACACTATTAGGTATCAATGGCAGTTTGTTGTCCGATTTCGACTTAATTTAAACAGGTGTGTTAACGAGAACCTCTTACCTGGTTTCGACCCGCGTGCTCAATTGTCTTTTCGTACACGATGTCATTCATCACCTGGAATCTTTTTAGTGCCTTTTTCTCCGTCACACCGATGTACTGCTGCTCTAGAGGTACTGGCCGGTAGCTAACAGATAACAGAGTGGAACATCAGTGACTGACATAAGACATGACAGCATACAAAACAATGAAAGTCAGTAACACCATGACAGGAGTCTAATGAAATACCACAGTTGACAACCAGCATATATGTGATAACATGAAGCTGGAAAATAGAATGGCCATTGATAATAACAAGAGACCAGACAAGAGAGCAGTCATCTGTAACAACATAGGGACAGACAAGAGAACAGTCATCTGTAACAACATAGAGACAGACAAGAGAACAGTCATCTGTAACAACATAGAGACAGACAAGAGAACAGTCATCTGTAACAACATACGGACAGACAAGAGAATGGTCGTCAGTAACAGCATGCGTACAGACAAGAGAATGGTCGTCAGTAACAGCATGGCACTAAACAAAGAAACAATGACAATCCAACAGTATATAACATATATAACAGAAAATAATTCAGAAATTGTTTTCTTTATCAGAGACATAGACAAGTAGAACTTAACAAGTGCCAGTATTTTTTCCCTATATAAAAATTATAATTCATGAATGTTTCCAGCACCTCTCACTCTTTGACAGGACCCTTGCTTGGACATTACCCTTAGAATCTTAATGGACATATATATATTATTTATCCTAATCATGTATTCATGGTAAAAATCATGTATTTATCTAACCTATTATCGAAGTAAAACATTCCCTTGGCTGTGTCAACGCGGAGGAACGTAGCGACATCCTCATAATTGGGGAGTGTAGCGCTCAAGCCAACCAACCGCACTTCCTCCTGTGTGGTCTCAATGTTACGTATAGTCCTGCAAACATCCACAAGAGATAAGCCACAACAATTCAGTTCGGCAGCTCCTGATTAGCGCAGCAACTATCTGCTACAGCTTCTGAGATCAATTGAAAATGATGACTGTGCAATCATCATGATGCCAACACTTGAAAAATTAATCAATTTGTTATCTACATGATTCTAATTCCAACGATATGCATAACCGAACGTTACTATGTGAAAGCAAGTGTATTATATAATTACTGAACAAACTGTGAAGCTGCAAATGCTGAGTGTACAGCTACCTGCATTATGAAGCAAGTATGAACATACTGGGGGAATTCTTCATTGCTATATACTTGCTAAGAGCAGCAGTAGCAGCAGTAGCAGCTGCCTTACCTGGCAACCAGGGCTTCAAGGACTGGTCCACGGTCATCGTGAAGCATGTGGATTTCATCCTAGAAAATCAAACAATGGAACGGCACATTCCATGAGGGATGCCTGCTGTGTTAACATCGTTCTGTTACAACTATTGAGCAAATATGATTTTAGGTAAAAAAACATACAACACAACTTTCTCAAAATAAATACCAAAGCAATCATACCTATACTATATATGAAATGTCTGTGACTCGCAAAATTCCTCGTAAACTAATGCATAATGGATCACTGATTGTATGACTGCTATAATTACTGTAGTAGTATTTCTTCTTTTATGCTCTGTTTTGAAACACATGGACATCACAATCACAAAGGGAGCCCAGGCGTCGCCAGGTATGCCACTAGTATTTACATACACATAGTACATAATATTTCTACATTAAAGGCACTTCATCTATACAGCGTTGCTCGCAGCAGGAGCGACGATCGTCTGTGTGCACTCACGAATATCATGAGACGGACGAGTTGGGTGTAGGTCCTCTCGCCGCCCTTGCGCGTGATGATGTCCCACTTCTCCGGCGTACAGACGATGATCTGGGTTGCCTGGATCTGCTCCTTGCTCAGCTGGTGGTCGCCCGTCAGCTCCGACACCTGTATGTTGTAGCTCGCAAGCCTCTGTTAGCAGACGTGTCACAGCCACACAGGTTAGGATTATGCATCACAGTTCACATCCACTCAGCTACTGAGATAATTTAGGCAAAGCATCTTCTGCGTAACGGCACACAGAACAACCACAGGCAACCCCCGGGGACATTGGTTGCCCGCAAGCCTACACGGTCGGGTGAATACTGTATGTGGGGGTAACTGCACACGAGTGCCAAAATTTCTATGTTTAATTGAGGTCTTCCATACCGTGAATCTGATGATTCAGGCTAGTTTTTTCTCAAAAATTTGGCTAGCTTGTTAATACAGAGCTATGCAGCTTATTAAAAAATTTGCTAGCTACCACTGCAGGATTAATAATACTATAATAATTATAGGTAGTATTATATATATAGTATATTAGGCCACATACCTTTTCTGAATTTGACTATATGCCTATTTGGTATTAGGCCAGCTATCTCTGGACCAGCTACCATGCTCTCAGATTAAACAAGCTACCTTTTGGGATATTCTTAGGAGCTTTAGAGCTCATTTAAGAAAACTGTGTTGCTAAGGGGAACTGGCGCCGGCAATGTCAGTAAGCGACACTGACCTTGCTGAAGTTGCCAACCATCTCCTGTACGAGCGACCTCATCGGTGCAACGTAGATGATCTTGAACTCGTTCACGTTGATCGTGCCGTCCATGTTGATGTGCTTGCCAATCTCTCTCATAACAGCAAGCAGTGCCACGTTAGTCTTACCAGCGCCCTGCAACACAGAACATGCTCACTACAACTTACGTGAAACGAGTCCAGGGTATAAGATCAGATGAGATAATCGCATCCGTCCCGGGGCATTCCCATAAATAAACACGTGCAACTGGATTTGCGAGAAATGAAGAAATTCGGTTTAATATTGTATCGCGACTTATCGCCGGAAAACAATCGCTACCGTGATGTTTTAATACAAAATAAATTCACGATAACGCGAATATTTGAAACCCCAGATATTGGCGATCACTTTCAATGCTGACACAGAGAAGGAGTGGAGTCAAGCTAGATGGAGACCTGGCAATATGGATAATACATGGACCACAAAAACGCGAGCATGAATGAGGTGATAAGGGTTACATGGGTTACATCGAAGTGGGGCCGACTCAGCTGAGGCGAGGTAGGGTCAAACCGACATGCGAGACAGGCGGGGGTCGCGGTAGACTCAGCCGACACGAGGCTTGAGACGGACGAGACACGAGGCGCGCTCACCGTCGGCGCGCAGATGAGCAGATTCTCGTCGCTGTCCATCGCTGTCTTGAAGATGCGACTCTGGATGCGGTTGAGCGTCTTGAATCCCTCGAACGCCGCCTGGCTGTACTTGGGCAGCTTGTCGATGGGAAACAGCGTCTCGTCGACGGCAAACGGCTTTGGTTTCAGCGCCGGCACGTGCACCTCTTCGTAACCTGAGGTGAACGACAGAACGTGACGGGAGAACGATCTACGTGTAGGACATGTCTTTCAGAATTGTGTATGCAACTTCTTCGAACTTAAGTAACGATGGTGCGTGTAAGCACGTGGAATTGAAATAGAAAATGACGTGTCTGCGTGTGTGCGTGCATGCACGGACCATAACCGACACCGGTGTACGTATACGAACTAGACGTAATGAGTAATGGTGTGTGTAAGCCTACAGAACATAACTGAGAACAGTATGTGCAAGTCCTTAGTAGCAAAGTGAAACAGAGTTAAGAGAATATCTGTTTAGTGCATGACTAACAGTGTATATGTCATATATGATTTCCATTACGTATCACCCACACACTCACTATACCATAATAGGAACCCCAAACACTATACAAGGGGAACGAACAACCCAATGGGCACACTCGCAAAGAACTTAAATTCACCCTCATTGCACAGGCTCTACGCAAGCTTAACGACAACGATGGCAACGACAACCGTGTACACTACCCCGTCAAATTACACACGATGCAAACCGCGAGCGACGCTCACCTTTGCGCTGCTTCCTGAACGAGCCGTCCGGCAGCTGGCAGCGCTTGTTCGCCATGAAGTGACTGCCCTGGCTGAACGTCAGGTCGTCGAGGTCCAGCTGTCTCTCCGGTACCTGCTTCGTCTCGCCGCCCGTGTCCATCGCCTCGGATTCTTCGAGACGCGCCTGCCTCACGGCTGCCTTCCTCGCGCGCTCCTCCTGTAAGGAGCGAGACGTCACACATCGTGCGTGAGGACACGCGTCACACATCGTGCGTGATGACACGCGTCACACATCGTGCGTGATGACATGTCTCGCTCATAGCCACGTCATCGCCGGCGATGGCCGTTCTTGCTCTCCTTGCGTTTGAATGACGAGTTGACGACCCCCACCCCCCTTCTGCATGCCTCAATCAGCAGACTTCATTGCCTAGCTTTTTTGGATTGCGTGTCGATTAAATACCAGTAATTTGTAATTTTTAGCCCGGGTTTTGTGTCACAACACATCACGCCGAACATTGCTCAGCCTTAAATAAGGCTAGGATCCCCTGACAGTAATCTGGTAAACAAATTTTCATGTAAAACAGCGCATAGCTTCCGTGTTTAGTGCACGTCAGCGACCACATATGAACCCCGTGTGACCCTTCCCCTTCCCACACGCACTAAGCCCCCCCCCCGAGTGAATCCCCTGCGCGAGACCCTCGTGCAAACCTCCCAACGTATCGTCCCCCCCCTGAACCTTCCCCCGTGACCCTTCCCGCCTGAACACCCCACACGACCCTTCCCGCCTGAACACCCCACACGAACTCCTAATGCAAACCCTTCGTGAACCTGCACACGTGAACCGCCGGCATGAACCCGAGCACCTGCACTATGTCCTCCTTGTCGGTCTCGCCTAGAGCGTGCAGCACCAGCTTCAGCGCTGCGTCCGCCTCCATCTTCTCTTCGATGCACTTCTTCTCAGCCTCACTCTGCGACTGTGCCAGCAGCGTGCAGTACAGAACTGTGCAGCGCAAAATAATCCACGGCCGTCATTAACCTGAGCCGACACTCACGCGCACGCACATACATGCACACACGCACGCTCATATACACACACGCACGCACGCGCGAACACACGCACACACACACATACACACACACACGCGTACACGTGCATACACGCAAACACACATGCACGCACGCACGTATATACACGCGTGCATCATAAAGATCTGAGATGGAGATAGTCATACAGGTGTACACTTTCATGCTACCTCCTACAATTACTAGATTAACAATTGAATGCGTTTAACCATTAGGTGCACTCGTACAATACTCCAGAATTTATTAATTTATTAAATAATCCACGGCCATTATTAACCTGAGCCGACACGCACGCACCTACACGCACACACAAGCATACACGCATGCACGCACGCATATATACATGCGTGCATCATAAAAATTTGAGATGAAGACACAGGCGTACACTTTCATGCTACCTCTTACAATTACTAGATTAAAGATGAATGCATTTAACCATTAGTATGATATGTACCATCGTATGATACTCATGAATTTATTAATTTATTAACTTATTTACTTAAAGGAATAATAGGTCCATTGATTATGCAATGTTGACAAATGCTAGAGTAACTGGCACCTTGTGTAGTTAATAAGTGCATAACCTTATAGCCAAACGCGTATTAGATTGTCCAATATCACTGCTGGTTACATTACAAACAAGACCTGAAATCGGTTGTTGATATGTATCTAAGTATCATTTACATGCCGTAAATGTCATCCAGGAGTCAAGCGATGACGTAATCATTTGTGAGGCCCGTATGTTTTGGATGCCAGATGAAATGGAGGTGTCAGCGGTGTAACCATAGCCACGGACTAAACTTGGAAAAGGAGTAAAACACACGTACTAATCACGGATGCATGTGGACAGCCCTGACAAAAAGTTCCTTATCACGAGCGCACATGTTTACGAAATCACTGATGATAGCATTGTGTACGGTCGAGCATGCGTGCGAAAATGTCCGGTGCACTATAAATCTGTATCACACCCGCTTCGCCGGCAGCGGTTTGAAACTGTAAACAACTGATTTTTGGACTGCGGATTTCAATGAGACATTCTTAGTAACCAGCAGTGATATTGGACAAACTAATACGCATTTGGACGTAAGGTTATGTACTTATTAACTACACAAGGTGCCAGTTACTCTAGCATTCGTCAACATTGCATAATCAATGGGCCTTTAATAATTTTTTCATTTATTTATTAGGGTGCCGGAAGGATCAAGGTTGATCGATAAATTGTAACTTGTCGGGGCAGTCACGCTAGTAAAAGATGATCCGGCACTCACTCATCTGGCGATGCTGACGCAGCACCTTGATGAAGTCGAAGTGAGTGAAGCCGAGCAACAGCACCAGCTGGTTCTCCGTGTCTCGGTCATCGATCGCCGTCTAATGCAAGCACAGAGAAACATGGGCATGAGGATAGAGAACAACATCAAGTCGAGACATCTACTCGATCAATATCCTCACGTGTTGCCTGGTCCTTTATCCCATACCCTCACCCTTACACCCTATATTCGTATCCTTATCTGTATCCTTATGATATACTCTTGACATATATGACATTCGGGCTAATCACCCATGCATGTGCCAACCATAGTAAGCACCCCATGAACACCCCACAAATGATTACTACTACTATTACTACTTTTGATACAGGAAATATGTAGTAAGCCGGCTACAGTACACAATCATTTCACTCCAGTACTATGAACAGGGAATGACTGCACTCTAACACCGTGAGTTGACTAATGGTGTACGCTACCCATAAGCCCTTCTAAGCTATGCCATCCAGAGTAATTATCTGTGATGGGTGAGACATGTACCTGGAGTATCTCCAACACCTCTGCCGCTTTCGTCTGCGCCACCATCGCGTCATCGTAGAATTTCCCTAGCTTCCGCTGAAGCCAGAATGCATCTATGTCACGCGGATGCAGCGCTTTCGCTCCTTTCCCTCCTGCAAGGTCCTCACCTGCAAGCTGAAAACCGTAAAGCAAAAACTTGATAACAGCACCACATACACTCGTTGAAGCAAATATGCTATACCGGCGCCACCTACACTAGTACAGATGCTATAGCAGCGCCCTCCTGGCCGTAGGAAGATAGACATTATTGTAAGAGCACTTACATCTGCAGAAACAGCTGCACGACAGCAGCAACACCTAAGACAAACAATAAATTGCATTTCATGACTACCATCAATGATCAGGCGCACACTGGTGAGCATGATTATAACCTACGTTTGCTTGCAGGGTGCTGTCCATCTCTGCCTCTATGCCCTCCTCCTCTTCATCGTCATCAGATCGCACCTCTCCAAACTGGTCCTCATCGTCCTGCACACACAGAGAAGAGAACATGTCAGTGATAACCAACAAGGTGGAGGGGCATACCATAGATAAAGAACTCTAGTAGTGAACATTGGCCACGTAGAGGAATATCACCTCCACAACTATGACTTAAATATTACCTAATATCTTTCTAACTATACTGATTACGAATATTACCAAATTATCCATACTGACAAGTTTTTGGTATCCATTATAACCTTGGGATTAAATTAACAAGACCGATTTCTATTTGTAACATGCTAAGGGTTTCAATAAATTTCTGACAATATAATACACTTAATGTTCTATGTAGAATTTATATTATCCACCAGCTGCCTAACTATGCAGTCTATCAATTCTAGTTGACTACCAACCTCTTCATCAGATTCCTCAAACTGGACGTTGACACCATACGTCTCATCGATGTTCTCCTCTGTAACGTACATATCAACAGTCACTGCATATCTAAATTAGTTATTTAAACAATTCTAAACATAGAGTTAACTGTATTTTATGGTTATGTACATTTTCTTAAAATCCAGACTTAATCTGCAGTCTCTCACCATCTGTATCACTCGCCCATAACTTGCTGTCTGTATTATTCACCCATGACTTGCTGTCTGTATCACTCACCCATGACTTGCTGTCTGTATCACTCACCCATGACTTGCTGTCTGTACCACTCACCCATTACTTGCTGTCTCTATCATTCACCCATTACTTGCTGTCTCTATCATTCACCCATTACTTGCTGTCTCTATCATTCACCCATGACTTGCTGTCTCAATCACTCACCCATGACTTGCTGTCTGTACTACTCACCCATGACTTGCTGTCTCTCGTCTAAGCCATAGTCGTTGATTTTCTTGCCCAGGTTGACGAGCAGTGCAAAACGTTCATCAGCGAGACTACCCAACAGCTGCTCCACCTCCTTCTTCTTCTCCTTGTCCTTCACCTTGTCATTCTTCAGTGTCTGCAGGACCTCGTCCGCTGCACCGCACAGAATGTCTCGCGGCTGAAGTAAACAAACAAGCAAGTAAAACACGATGAAGGAAAAATCCTATGCTAGTCTAGCTTACATATAAAAAGAATACACAGGAAGGATGGAACAAGGAGCTAGGAAGGAACTAAGTAGAAAACTAGGAATCCATTTTAATACTAAATAAAAAGAAATGACTACTCGTGTTAGCAGCAAAACCAAGATAAAAACCGCGTATAACATCTAGTAATAACTACGCATTTCCGTTAAAAATTTACCACTATAAGATTATCCTCATCATTTACCTGGTCACCAAGAGCTGCTTGTATGAAGCTTAGCAGCACCTCATAGGTCTGTCGGGTCTCCTGTGTCTTTGGTCTGTAAACGATGCCGACGATGTCCTCAATTCCTTGTGAGAGTAGAGTTTGTCCCTTGATCTTCATCATGTCATAGCGGGCATCGTCTCGCTTCTGCCGTCTGAAATGCGTCAAATAAACATCTCTGATAAAAACCACCATGTTTTACAAAGAAGCGGCAGAAGTCCTTTATATTCTCTCAAATTCACAATCTTAAATTTTAATCAGGCCAAAACAAAATATAGGTGTGGTTACGGTTTCCCGACCGACCCTATTTATTCCCAGCGACCCTAAACATTTTATTGTCAATTTTCTTTAAAGTCAAAAAAAAAAAATGAAAAAAAAAAAATATATAATAAATGAATTCGACAGTTCCTGCTTCAAAAGGCACAACGCACATCCTTCAGACATGGTTCGTAAATAAAATATTTCAAGAAAATAAAATGTTTTCCCTACCTACCTACCCTATTTTTTTCGGCATGTAATGGTAACCACACACATATTTTGTTTTGGCTTAAAAATGCCTTTACCAATAGAACATTGCATGCATTAAGTTATAAATGCAAGGCAATCCCTTTACATGTGAACAGAACATGCGCACGAGAGACATAATACATTGGCTGCTTATATGATTTATCAGACAGCTTTGTCAGGTATTCTCGCAAGATAATTCTGAGAATCGTGTGATTTAGGCATTATTGCTTAATTCGAATTTGTGAGTAAAAATTTGTAAAAATGAATAATTCCGTAAGATCAGGCTTTGAGACAATTAAGCCTCTCCGTCGGCCCCTAGACTAGCTGTCACTAGGTCACTACTTACTTTGGCTGAGAGGGTCTATGTCCCCCGGGGTACTGCCGGAACGTACCCTGGGTACGGTCCGGTATACCGGAACGTACACTGGTACTATCTAATATGCCGGACCGTACCTCGCCTACTCCACTAACGAGTCTAGGGAGTCGCCTACGCCTACTCCCTAACCCCAACCCTGACCCTAACCCTAACCCTAACCATATCAAATAGTGACCAGGGTACGTTCCGGCAGTACCCTGGGGGACATAGACCCTATGAGCCTTACTTTGATCGGCGCTCCTCCAGACCCTGAGGACGTGTACGCTGGTAGCGGTCGCCCATCTTGGAACCAGTGAGCTTGCCGACGAGTGACATGACCTCTCCTGTCGCCTCATCCCTGCTGCGTCGCTCGATCAGCGAGCGGTCAGCTTGCAGCACAAGGTTGGAGTTCTGCAGCAACCATATTAAAATGAGCATACCTACCTACCCTATTTTTTTCGGCATGTAATGGTAACCACACACATATTTTGTTTTGGCTTAAAAATGCCTTTACCAATAGAACATTGCATGTATTAAGCTATAAATGCAAGGCAATCCCTTTACATGTGAACAGAACATGCGCACGAGAGACATAATACATTGGCTGCTTATATGATTTATCAGACAGCTTTGTCAGGTATTCTCGCAAGATAATTCTGAGAATCGTGTGATTTAGGCATTACTTAATTCGAATTTGTGAGTAAAAATTTGTAAAAATGAATAATTCCGTAAGATCAGGCTTTGGGACAATTAAGCCTCTCCATCGGCCCCTAGACTAGCTGTCACTAGGTCACTACTTACTTTGGCTGAGAGGGTCTATGTCCCCCGGGGTACTGCCGGAACGTACCCTGGGTACGGTCCGGTATACCGGAACGTACACTGGTACTATCTAATATGCCGGACCGTACCTCGCCTACTCCACTAACGAGTCTAGGGAGTCGCCTACGCCTACTCCCTAACCCCAACCCTGACCCTAACCCTAACCCTAACCATATCAAATAGTGACCAGGGTACGTTCCGGCAGTACCCTGGGGGACATAGACCCTATGAGCCTTACTTTGATCGGCGCTCCTCCAGACCCTGAGGACGTGTACGCTGGTAGCGGTCGCCCATCTTGGAACCAGTGAGCTTGCCGACGAGTGACATGACCTCTCCTGTCGCCTCATCCCTGCTGCGTCGCTCGATCAGCGAGCGGTCAGCTTGCAGCACAAGGTTGGAGTTCTGCAGCAACCATATTAAAATGAGCACTTCCATAAAAGGGCATGGTTACTAGTATTACCTTAAAAATACTATTTTTGTGGAATTCGCGCTGCTTTGATCAGTCCTATTTACACAGCGCTAGTACAACTACTACTACTCATAGAAATAGATAGATAACCTATCTATTTCTAGGTTATCTATCTATTTCTATGACTACTACTAGTAGTAGTACTATTATTACTATTAGTATTACTATTAGTACCCCCTAATCTAAAGCTAAAAGACAAAGTTAGGCATTTGTCTTTTTAAATTGTATTTGTTATGCAGTTTAGTGGGACGGATCCGTTATAAAACCATAAATATTTCAACTTCATCTTGGCTAAACTGTTGATGAATTCATCATGATGCCAGTAGTATTGAGCTGAAACAAAATAACTTACCGCTTTGTATTCATACTGAAGTGATCTAGCAGCGGCGTCCGCCATCGCTGTAACTTCGTACAAAACACGCACACAAATACGCCTGCGATAATGCCAATCTTAAAAAGCGATTACAGCGCCATTAATAATCAACGGCAGCGGAAGAAACTTATTATTCTACCCTTTTCTTCTATTCTTCCATTTCTTTGTTATTTATATATTTATTAATATTTAATTATATAATACATACAATTGCAATGTAATTCGATATATGTATATATAGAAGGATGGAAAACCCTCTCTATGAGTGCCATAGACTAGTCCAAAATGGTACTTCTACTAGAATTAAATAATAACTAAAAGTGCCTCCAATAGAATATCAAATTAAATACCACTTATGTTATATACCACCTTTAATACACTTATATTTATATACAAAAACATCAACCATCTTGAAAACCACTCAAAAATAGTTTCCTACCATAACTGACAAATATTACAACAATTAATATATATGGTCACAACTCACTTAGGAAAAAGAGCTCTTCACTTAAAATGTAAAAAAAATAATATAAAAATACAATATTAGCAACTAATATAGGAGACTAATGCTTATGATAATGATTCATACTATGTGTTGGGGTGTTGAAATATGTGTGGGGTGTAATATGTTGAAATATGTGTGAAATATGTGTGTGTGTGTGTGTGTGTGTGTGTGTGTGT